AAGGAGATAAAATACTTACCTAGATGAAATCAAGCTTGAAAGGCCTCTAATGTGCTAAAGGACTTATGCCCTAGTAGACCATAATCCTCTTTTCGTCATCTCTCCTCTATTTCTTCCTATTTTCCTTTTCTGTTTCATGCCCAAGCTCAATCTTGATGTTTAAAATAAGGTTAAGGTGCAAAAATGCTGACCAGATGGTTAGCTAGGAGCATCCAATAACCTAAAGTGAGGAAAAAAAAGAAAAAATACCTATAATGTTACTAAAATTAGTGCAAATATGATCAAACCGTTAACTTACACTAACGTCATTAGTTTTCAATGTTAAATATTGACTGTGATTGTCATATGTCAACCTTTACTAAAATGGACTAAAAAAGGGGGCAAAATACCCATGAAGTCATTGACCAGGAGTATCCAATAACCTAAAGTGATAAAAAGGCAACAATACCCATAACATTACTAAAGTTAGTTTAAAAGTAACCAATCCATTAAATGTTGATCGTTTAGCTAACACTTAAGTAGAATTTGACTATTTTTTGCTGATGTGGACCAAAAATATTCTCAAGTGAAATTCTATGAAGGTTGATCAATTATTGTATGAATAACATATAGAAAAATGTTGTTTTGATTGAACAATAAGTTAAATTGCTCACTTCTTTGCAGTAATGGCAGAAGCCATTTAAAAATTTCAAACCTTATCATGAATAAAATTGTTTAAGGTCATGCCAATATGTTTAAGGTAGGTGGCATAGGAGGTATACATAGTTACAAAGGCATTACAAGCATAGACAACCTCCTTCATAAAGTACTTACATTCTTTATAGTGAGCCATAGCCTCTTCATTCTCGATATTTGATTGTGTGCAACCTATCTCACTATGTTGAATCTTAAGTTTTACAAATAAGAAAAATGAGTAGAGAGGGAGGAAGGAAAAGGTTAGGGGATATGGTGATGGAAAGAAACCATGTGACTTGGATTTTGACGAATTGATTACTATTGCACTTACTAAAGTAATGTTGTGGTAATTATACAATGATCAATCAACCTTCATATAATTTCACTTGTTAATACTTTTTGTCCATGTCAGTGAAAAAATGGTCAACTTCTACTTAATGTTAGCTAAACGATCAATATGTAAGGAATTTGATAGATTGATCAGTTTTGCATTAATTTTGGTAATGTTATGGGTATTTTAGCCTTTTTTTTCTCATTTTAAGCTACTAGATACTCCTGGCTTATGACTTCATGAGTATTTTTACCCTTTTTTTAGTCCATTTCAGCAAAGACTAATCTATGGCAAGCACATTCAGCATTTAACACTGAAAACTAATAGTGTTAGGGCAAGTTAACAATTTAGTCACTTTTGTCCCATAATTGGGCCCAATTGGCCTAATTCACTACCAGACTTAATATAAAGGCTATACATAATATTAATAGGCCTATTAGGAAATCATTAACCACCATTAAACCAGCTAATACTTAATTTTTAACTAATTAAACTCAATTAATTAACTTAATTTAGGAATTAAATCCAGGATGTTACACCATGTTTCTAAAAAGCCTCTTATACTCTAATTTTAGGTGTTTTACAAGGGCCTTAATGTGCAATCTCTACAGTTAATGATTTTAGGATCCCATTTACTCAAAGATGTTTTATAAAAGTGTTTTGGCTAAGGTTGATCTTCTTACCTTTGTTTAATTTCTTAATTATAATGATTGATTTACTTGATTGGGTTTAAGTGTAGTTAATGACAAAGGTCTTCATAAGAGATCGTGAGAGTTGAGAGAGAAAAAGTGTAGAGTCGAGCTTAGTAAGTGAGGGTTATGAGCTAAGGGTTTTTTAAGCCAAAGTCTGTAGTATGTTTTTTTTGAAGAAGGGGTCAAAAAAAGAGGAATCGAGATTAGAGGGCTGCTAAGGCCCCTTTCTTCATGGCCTAAAAGGGCTAGGCTTTAAAACACAATTTTCTGAAAAATAGCCAATTTTCTAGACTCAATCCCTTATAAAAATGGACTTAAATAGGCAACTCTCTAAGTTCGATTCTTATTCCTAACTCTATTTATAACTTCTTCCCTTCCTCTCTCAATAATGATAACTAAAATTTTAATACATCATTTTTTTAAATAATAGATGAAGTAGGGTATCATTGAAAAAATAATTATAAAAATTGTCAATAATATTTTTAAAGAAAGTCCTATTCTATGGTCTAGACTTAAAAATATAACTTATGTTGATTAGAAAATATTGTTAAAATATTTTTAAAATAGGTAAAAATATAATTATTTTTTATGACAAGAAATATCAATATTATAGAGATACTAAATATAAAGTTTTAAAATAAGATAAATTAGGTAATGTATATAGTTATTTAGCGATGTTATAATTAATTTATACTAAAAAAGGCCATCATTGTTATAATAATTTAATTTATATTTATGAAATAAAAAATACATAAAATAATTAAAATTTGTACTTAGACAATAAAAAACTATATAAAAAAATTAAAGGGCAAAGGGACAAAAATACCCACCAAGTGGTCGGCAAGGAACACCCAATAGCCTAAAGTGAGAAAAAAGATAAAAATACCCATACCATTACCTAAATTAGTGCAAAAATGACCAATCAATTAACTATTACTAATTTATGTTAATTTTTAACGTTAAGTCTTTCTCTCTCTTTGCCAAGCAGAATAAAAAATGACATGGATTTGAATGTGCTTGCTACATGTGAGTCTCCTTTACCTGAATATCTTATTGCTTTTCTTCTTCAGTGTTCTGCTCCTTCCACTCTCATCTTCTGATCCATCTTTGATTATTGTAATAGATGAGCTTACGAAGCGCCAAATAGAGGGAGACAGTGTGGTGGTGGCAGCACAATCATGCGATGAACTAGGTACCTCTCGATGAACTAGGACATGTGCAATGGCATGAATGGGACGAGTGAAGAATGATTCTAATTAGTGCAATCCAAAAATGGATGAGTGATGATGGATTTAGAAAAGGACGAGGGTCACAGCTCTAAGATTGAGATTCAATCTAGAAGGCACCAAGATCTCAGGGGATGGGGCTTATAAATCTAGAATCTTCAAAACCCTTGCCTCTATCATTCTCCTTCATTTCTAGAGTGTTTGTCAGTATGAGTGGGGGTATATCCATCATGATCCTCTATTGCTAAGGGTCCAAGTTGTGCATTTGTCTTGCTTAGTAACAAAGGATCATGGTGGATGCTAGAACCTCATCTCCCCTTTGGTTTGTCATTGCTAATCTAGTTCGAAGAATCTTGGGATTTTTCTTCTTGTTCTTGATCTATTAAACATCCTAAAAGTGTTCTTGTGTTTGATTTCATTGTCTTCAATTACCTTCTTCTATTTCCCCCATTCACTTTGATCTACTTCAATTCTTCAATTGTCTAGATTTGTACAAGTTTTGGATTGATTTTTTTTTTTTTGGAAATTGTTGTTGACTTGTACAATTCTTCAACAATGATGGTGTTTTTCCTTGCCTCTTTGGGTTTCTTTTGCTTGTGTTCTTTGTTCTTTCAATTCTAAAGCATTCGTGGGATGAGAATGTGAGGAGGAAGACAAAGAAGATGCATAGGTGGCACGCACATTCAAACTCGTGTCATATTTTCTATTCCACTTGGCAAGGAGAAAGGGGCTTAATATCAGTGATAATTAACGGATTAGTCACGTTGGCACTAATTTAGATAATATTATGTATATTTTTGCATTTTTTCTCACTTTAAACTACAAGTCACTCCTGACTGATAAATTGATGGGTATTTTTTTTTCTTAGTTGTAATTGATTATTATTTTTGACAAAATTAAAAACAAATCAAATCTACATAAACGCATACTACATTCTTGCTTTATTCTTAGTTGTAATTGATTATTATTTTTGTTGTTTTCTTTGTTCTCCTTACTATAATTTACTTAAGTAGAAAGTAAGGTTAAAAAATTGTACTACTCTAGTCCTATTTATTGGGCAGGAAGAGAAGAAAAAAATTGATCCTACTTATAAGGTATCTACAAATTTTCAATACTCCTCTTTATATTTTTGTCCTTGTTAAATGTTTTGAATAAAAATGCCAATAATGAGATTTAATAATATTTACTACAAGTAAAGGTAAAAACTTGTTAAATTTTAAGATAAAGTTAATGAAATTTTAGTTTTTCCTTGATTTCAGTAAAACATGTTAGAAGTAACATATAAATAGGACCAAAGAGGATATACTATTGTTATAGATTGAAGAATACAATCATTCTTTATTCTTAACTAAAAAATTCCCTATGCATAAGAGAAATTTACCTAGTCCTTTAGGGAAAATGTCATTCAAAGATCATTAAAGTAATTTAATATCAAATAAGGATTAAAAGATTCTAAAATATCCTGTAGAATTAAGGGATTGATTTGAAAATTAGATGAGAAAAGACTAAATGTCCTTGTTTTTTTTTTCTTTTGTTAAATTTGTCGATCAATGAATAGTTTTTTGTTAAATACGAATGAATACTTATTAATTGATAAATGATTACTTATTAAAATATAATTTATACTAATCCCTTTTCATAACTAAATTCTTTCATATTCTTGTATTTGTTAATTAGTGAATGACTTTTTGTTAAATGTGAATGAACGCTTGTTAATTAACAAATGACTACTTGTTAATTTAAAAAAAAAAAGAAGAAGGAGTATTTTAATCTCTTTCTATCTAAAATTATTTTCAAATTAATTTCCTGATTTTATATTAATATTTTAAAATCTTTTGATTATTATTTAATATTAAATATCCTCGTTAGTCTTTGATATTTTCCCTTTTCTTTTTGTTTGCCTCTAACATTACGTGGGTTTGTACGTTTATGAAAAATTCTTCCTTTAATAGAATATATTGTATTCAATATACTGTAGTTTTCTTCGCTGCATTAGTATTTATTACCGTCTGTTAAAACCAAAGAATAATTCAGTTTTTGTCTAAAAGCACAGGGAAAGCTCGATGACCTTCCTGCATGAACACCCTTTCTGTATTCGTTTACCTGAAAGGAAGAAAGAGAATATTAGACGTGGCGGCATTTTGGTTTTCTGTTTGGCCAAGCAAGCGCAGGTATATAGTAAATCCCAAGTCCTCATGCCCAGGCATAACTGAAATCGTTACTCCTTCTTCTTCTTCTGATAAACCTCTCGAGCTTTTCTCTCTTGCCCTGAAAATGACTACGAAGCTAACGACGTGCTTTTCCCACTGGAATATCACGGGGCTCAACTCTATCTCTAACTCTAAGCCCTCCAATGTACTTCACTTTCCCTTGCCACACCGTCGCCTTCTTCCTGCTACTTGCAGAGCGGGAAAGCAGGAGGACCCCAAGTACAATTCCACATTTTAGTACCTCTTCAATGGCTTGAGACATGTTAATTAATTAATGTGATCGTACTTCTCCAATTCGTTACTGTCAATGATTTTTGTTTTTCTTTTTTACATCACAAGTTTTAAATAGAAATGAGTGTTTGCTTTCGTGAGTTTTGCATGTTTCTTTCTTTCCCGGGGCGGGAGTTACCTTTGAGTTCAGACATAGTGCGAGCATGAAGCTTTCTCACCAAATGCAGCTGCTGTTGAAATCGGGATTAATTTCGTTTGCATTGATTTTGGATGAATGGGATGATTATCAGTTGTTCTGAGCCTAGGAAGTGAGGTTGTTTATTGAATTGTTGTATATACCGCAACGTTCTGGTTTTTCTTGAATCTTCCTTGACGCTTGGCTCTTATTGACTTCTTACCACATTCTTAACTTATGGATGATCATCTTTATTGTTGATTGGCTGGATGAATCTGCTGGTGCTTCCCCTGCTATTGCTGGGGCCTGTACAAGGCATAACAGCATGATCTGTGAATCTTTTTTCTTGAGCTTGGACTCCGACTTTATTCAAGTTAAATTAGCTGAGTCTAAGTGGCAGGACATAAAGTGCCAGGGATAAAATGTTGGAGATAGTATATTTATGCTTGCATTTTGTTATAAATGATATTAATTTCTTGTTTTTCTGGCCATTTTTTGAGTTTGTACTGTTCACATCCGATTTTGTTTTCGATATCTTCTATTCCTATTATATGAACCTTTGAAGCCTGTGAGATCTGTGAATTTCAATGACTCAACATATTACATCAAAATTTAACATCACGCTAAAGAATCTAGTTCTAATATTTATTGTGTTGCCTTTTAATTCTTTTATATTTTTCTTTTATAATAGTTACTTTAATCCCTAGCTTCTTGTTGTACTCAAACTCATTCAACTGTAAACAGTTTCCAGCGTCAAAATCAACCCATCAAGAAAGTTCCTGATGACCAAACTTCGGCACATGGGAGTCGCCAACCAAAAGAATATGACGACTCTAGCAAGGAAAACTCAAGAAATACTTGTACTCCTGCAGAGAATAGCCTTGCAAAGAATTTTAGTCTTTCTAATATCACGCCTTTGGTATCTCCTTCAACTAGGCTTGACAAAGGAAATAAAGATTGTCTTTCTTGATTCTGTAAAATGGCATCTTATTATTTCCCCAATCTTTTGTTGTGTATAAATGATGGCTTGTTCACACATGCACACACATGCATAACTCCCTTTAATTGCACTCAAGCCAGCCTAAGTTTAAGTCTGAAAAAAAGAATTTCTGTCAGTGTACAAACTAGCCTCAGTTTAATATTGTCCTGTGTGACAGACCGGAATCAAAGATATAGTAATAGAGCATAGCGAGGAGCCATCAGGTACCCAACTCCAGAATTTGTTGGAGGAGAAGAGATATGTAGAGAAAGGTAAGATATCTTTCAGAAATACCAATAGACATTTTTCAATTCCCTCTTCAACTTTTTTGGTTTAATAGCTTGTTGCCTGAGTGGTTTTTCTTTTCTTTTCTTTCAAAATCCTCTAGATTCCAACGCTTTTCTCTTAAATCAAGCTAGAGTTCAGGAACTCAGAGATCTTCAAAACATTCTTCATAAGATGGAAGTATTGCAAAGAAAAATTGAAGTCTTGGAGAAAAGGTTGGCAGAGACTGAAGCACAGTTAAAAGTGGCCGGCCAGGAAAGGGTGCGTGTGGAACGCATGGAAAGAGAGTACTCATTCTTAAAGTCTTGCCTGAAAAGCTTGGAGTCAAAGTTCTCTGTTTCTCAGGAAAACTTATCGGAGATGCTTGCAACACTAAGAATTAGAGGCAAGGATCTAAGGGATGAGACTGAAAATTCACAGTTGTTGATAGATAGGGAAACCAAACAAGCTGACAAATCTATTACAGTACTGCAACAAAACCAGGACCTTCAAAGAAAGGTTGAACAATTAAGGAGACCTGATGAAGAACCCGTGGATGATATGCCACAGGAATTCTGGAGTCAGTTGTTGCTTATAATTGATGGTTGGTCACTTGAAAAGAAAATATCAATACAGGATGCCAAGGTTCTGCGAGAAAAGGTGTGGAAAAGAGAGAGATATATTCAAGATACATACATTGCTGTCAAAGAACAGAGTGAACATGAAATCATTTCGGCACTTCTTGCATCATCTGCGACAAGGTATTATCTTTTCAATAGTAATTATTTTGCACTTTATATTTCTTTTGTTGTCTTATCTGGTTCTTATTTTGCCTTTTAGTTCGGGATTGTATGTGATTCACATTGCAGCAGAGATGGCACCAGTAGCCAAGGTGAACTAATTTTAGCCCTACATTTTAACAGTTAATTCTCATAGTTACTTTTTTTCAAGTGAAGTTATTCATAATTTATATATCTCAGACTCATCTAGTTCTCAGCTTAGGAATCTTTTCACTTCTGGATCTAAGCCTTTCCATGAGTTCAAATTTTCCAGTCTCATGGAACAATTTTGTCGGGTGTAGCTTTTTTTTTTTTTTTTTTGGTCATACCTCATCTCTGAGTTGAACTGTTCATGAGTTTAATATAAATATTAAGATTGATTTGTTTCTATAATAGGTTGGTGGTTTGGGGGATGTTGTTAGTGGCCTTTGTAAAGCATTGCAGAGGAGAGGACACCATGTTGAAATTATTCTTCCCAAATATGATTGCATGCAGTATGACCAGATCAATGACTTAAGGGTATGCTATAGTCTTTTTATAAAATGATCAAACAAGTAGAAAAGAATATTATTATCATGAACCACTCATGATAAGTTGATCCTTGTCGCAGGCTTTAGATGTAGAGATAAACTCATACTTTGATGGACAACTATGCAAAAATAAAATCTGGGTTGGCACTGTTGAAGGTTGACAATTTAATATTTCTGTACATTGAATACCTCTATCTTGTGTACTAAATGTTTCTGTTTATCTTATGTAGTAACTTAACTTTGGTTATGCAGGCCTTCCTGTGTATTTCATTGAGCCCGTCAACTATGGTGAGTTCTTTCGGAGAGGACATATTTATGGAGAACTTGATGATTTCAAGCGCTTTTCATTTTTCAGCCGTGCAGCTCTTGAGTTTCTTCATCAATCAGGCAAGAAGCCTGATGTCATTCATTGCCATGATTGGCAGACAGCATTTGTTGTATGTACTATCAATTTTTTTGCGGATAAATTATGACTCATTTGAGTTACCTACGAAATCGATGAATTTTCTACTACCAGATTTCATGTTTCTTCTGCTAGGCTCCACTATATTGGCATGTATATTTCCCAAAGGGATTGAATTCTGCAAGAATATGTTTTACATGCCACAACTTTGAGTATCAAGGGACTGCACCAGCTTCAGAATTGGCATCATGTGGTCTTGATTACCGCCAGTTTAACAGACCAGACAGACTGCAGGACAACAAAGCTCATGACAGAGTCAATCTTGTCAAGGCATAAGAAGTTAAAGTTATCTATTATAGTTTATTTCTTGAACAGAAAATACTAATTTTTACCTTCAATTGTCAGGGTGGAATTGTTTTCTCTAACATTGTGACAACAGTGTCACCTACTTATGCTCAACAGCTGCAGACCATGGAGGTATGGTCCTTGCTTTTGTGATTATGAGTTTTTCCTCTGCTTTACCAAAATAACAGGAAGAGAACTTGTTGGAACTTGGTGCATGCATGCAAGAGGAGGATGGGTAAATAGTTGGGAGAATATGAAAGCTAGAGAATAACGGCATAAACAACAATGCAATATTTCAATTTTTACGAATGGTTACCTTGATATTGTTGTCTTCAATGCAGGAAGGACAGGGCCTCCATTCAACGCTTCGTTCACAATCCCACAAATTTTTTGGCATTCTAAATGGTATCGACACTGATGCATGGAATCCTAATACTGATACTTATCTCAAAGTTCGGTACAATGCAAGTGATCTTCAAGGGAAATCAAAAAACAAGGATGACCTGAGAAGGAAACTCGGTCTCTCATCTGCAGATGCCAGGATGCCATTGGTGATTCTGTTATTATTATAAATAAGAAGTCACTTGGTGCAACCATTTTCATTTTTGTATCCTTCCTCAAGTTTCACAATCAACGCCATTTTCTTTATACCATAATTCAAAAAATCCTGACTCGATCAGTATAATAACCTGTCTTTCTTTTTCATTCTTTCCTCCTTTAGAGGATTGTGCAAACTGACTTATGTTTGGATGTTTTTCTGCTCTTCTAGGTTGGCTGTGTAACAAGATTGGTACCACAAAAAGGTGTTTTTCTTATCAAACATGCGATTTATCGAACATTAGAGATGGGAGGACAATTTGTTCTTCTTGGTTCAAGTCCAATACCAGAAATTCAGGTCATATTTGTGCCCCCAAAATTGATGTGTGTTTTATTTCTGTTTGTTAAATGAGAAGATCAAGCAATATAACATAAGAACTGAAACTTTATAAGCATTTAACTTGAACATTAGCTGGGAAGTTATCTTATCAAAAACTAGAGACGAAAATGCACTTCATATTTCTCTCTTTGTTTTGGCTTGCTTTCGTAAAACTATTGTCTGTTGTAAATGCATTCAATTTGAAGCAGACATATACGTGTATATCAAGTTGTAATTGAACAGCAAAGCTCCTCAGTTAATCTCTAAATTTTTAGTTTAATAATGCTTAAGTATGTGAAATCAGGAAAACATAGTATCTGAATGTATATACTTCCCTCTCGTGTATGATCCCTAGCCATTGTAGCTTCAATTGTATTATCCCGAGTCCTGACACGTAGCTGACTAAGTATTAAGTAATTGTTTGCCTTTCATCTTCTTGATATTATTTTGTGATACGCTTTATATTGATGCTCAAACTGATATAACCAAGTGCATTATCATCGTTGCCTTTTCAAAGTGTTCTCATCTATAGATTTAAAAATTTGGAGACTTAATTTCCTTTTAGAGTGCCAACTCGTTATTATATTCTCTAGTGATTTAATTTGTGTTTTTTCTCTTTTCCAGGAAGAATTTGAGACCATGCATCACAGCTTTCAGGATAATGACCATGTTCGGTTGATATTGACATATGATGAATCTCTCTCCCATCTTATTTTTGCTGCATCTGACATGTTTGTCATTCCATCGATCCTTGAACCTTGTGGCCTAACACAGGTAAAGTCTCCTTGTTTGTTCACGAAACTTGAAGAGCAAAGAACTAGAGCATGTTACTCCTGTTGCAGAATATTCATGATGGAAGCACATTTAATACTTACTTATCAAATGAGTTTATTCCTTTGCAAGTTGCAACATTGTCCATTCATGTTTAATTTGAAGTTTGCTTACCTTCAGATATCCACAAATCAAGACCACATCTTTAGCACCCTCATGAATGACCTTCCGCTTTGTTTTAATGCATTTGTTCGAACCTTACTATCTTTCCTGCAGATGATATCAATGAGATATGGCACCATCCCCATTGCTAGAAAAACTGGAGGAATCAATGACAGGTACCAGAACCTGCATAATATCACCTCGTGGAAACATAACTCCTCTTCTTTTTTTCCTGAAGAATGATCGAATTGTATCTCCTTTTTGTAGCGTTTTTGATGTCAATGATAGTACAGTACCTTACGAGTCAAGAAACGGATTTACATTTTTGAAGGCAGATGAGAAGGTAAGTTGGTGAAGTATCAAATCTCGAGTCTTGTATGCTTGTCAAAAGGTTGTGTCTATTGTTTCATGCAATAGGAGATTTTCCAAGAAACTTTCCAGGAATCCAATGAACTCTGATGAAAACAAATTTGGGCAGGGATTAGATGATGCTTTGAAGCGTGCATTTGAATTTTACAAAGGAAATCCAGAGAGCTGGAATCGCTTGTTGAGAAGGACATGAACATAGATTTCAGCTGGAAATCTTCAGCAGCACAGTATGAGAAGCTCTACTGCAATGCTGTGGCTAGAGCAAGGAGAAGGAATATACTTAAACAAACCTAACAACTTTCACTTCTGTGGCAACTTTTCAAGATTTAACTTCTGTGTCGTTTTGTGAATGGATTCTTCTGTTTGAATTCAAGGGAATAAGCTGTCCGTCATGCTCTATGCACCCTGTTAAATTTGTGCCAGGTGTTAATAAAATAAAATTTTTCTTCTTACCCCTTTTTCCACGGAAATAAAAAATATGCAGTGTTTATCTGATTACTTATACATGTACCATTATTATTAGCCAGTAGTAAGTACTAGAAAGTAAAATTTTGAGATCAATTTAACATGAGCCCTGGTGCACGAAACACAATATGTTCTTTCGTTGGCCTGCAACAAATTTACACGTCAAGTAACAACCCACACTTTTTTTCCTTCTAAAAAAGACGCACATCTTTCTAAGCTCATTTTCCAGGGACAAAGTTAGTGGCGTATGCCCAGGCGTTGTTGTTGACTGGATCAGCAAGGTGGTCTGCAAGGTTCTCCAGAGGTCCCTTTCCAGTCACAATGGCTTGAACAAAGAAGCCAAACATTGAGAACATGGCCAATCTGCCATTCTTGATCTCCTTCACCTTCAGCTCAGCAAATGCCTCCGGGTCATCTGCAAGACCCAATGGATCAAAGCTTCCACCTGGGTAGAGTGGGTCGGTCACCTCACCAAGAGGCCCGCCGGCAATACGGTATCCCTCAACAGCACCCATCAAGATCACTTGGCATGCCCAAATTGCAAGAATGCTTTGCGCATGAATCAAGCTTGGGTTTCCCAAGTAGTCAAGCCCACCCTCACTGAAGATCTGGGATCCAGCCTTGAACCACACAGCCTCACCGAATTTGACACCGTTACGGGCCAAGAGCTCAGGGAAGACACAACCCAAAGCTCCAAGCATAGCCCATCTGGCATGGATGACTTCAAGCTCACGGTTTCTGGCAAAAGTCTCTGGGTCAGCTGAAAGCCCAGCAGTGTCCCAACCATAGTCACCCGGGAACTCACCGGTCAAGTAGGATGGAGGCTCACCGGAGAAGGGTCCCAAGTATTTGACGCGGTCAGGGCCGTACCACGGGCTGCCAGAAGGGCCGGGAGGCTTGACACCCCTCCTCATGGAGATCCGGCCGACACCTAACTGAGCTGGAGACACTTTGAGTGCCTCACCGGCAAAAGTTGGGGAGGAGAGAGCCATAGTAGAGGCAGCCATGGTTAAACAAAATGCAGCTTATTGTGAAGGTTGTCAGTGATGAGGACGAGGTGAAAAGAAACGTCGAGTGTGGGTCCTTATTTATAAGGGAATGGAAAGGTAAGATTCTTATCATAGGGTATCTAAATCTTCATTCTCATTGGGGCTCCAAGATTTTTGTTGCTGTGCTGCTGTGTCCACTTGGCACTGCCTCATCCACCTAACGGGTAGATTTGTCAAGAAAGGGGCATCCAATGAGAGAATCCCACGTGTAACTACAAGATTTCTATGTCTTGAAGATTTTTTTTTTTCCTCCATGCATGAACCTGAATATATGTGCATGTCATGGTGAAGGGTTATCCTTTTCAAAAGTAAGCTTATCATTTTCATAAGTAAAATTGAAAGTCACAATATGTGAAAGGTTAATTAGTTGTTCAAAGTCATACGATAGCGACTGTGATTCGATTTTCTTTTGAGTAATATGGACAAGTTTAAATTCCATAAAAATCCTTTAAAGAAAATAAAATAAAATGCTAAAGAGATCAAGTAATGGTGAATGATGGCTACAATCTTGCAGATTTCATTGGAAAATTATATTATTATATGAATTGAATGGTTGGAACAATTTTTTTTTATCAGTTTCTTCTCTTAAATTTTAATATCCAGAGGCCATGTATCATGCATGACTTTGCTTTTGAATTTGTATTATCATTGAAGAATTTCATGCTTCAACAAATTAAGCTTTATCTGACGCTTTTTAATTTAAGCTTTAAATGGATGTTCTCTTGTATATTTTACTCAAAGAGGTTGTCAGCAAATGCCCCACTTAGCTAGAAAAAAAAAATTACATGTTAGCATGAGAAAATTATATTTTACGCCTTATTCCAACAAATTTTAGGATTTTAAACTCACTAAAATATTAATCACTATCACTTCAAAAAAAAAAAACCATTTCAATGTAGTATCAAAATTTAAATATATTTCTGTATTTTGAATAGAAAAGTACAAATATAATTAGTTAATCAATTTTATTTAACTTAACTTAAGGTTAAATATATTGTATTTAAATAATAAATTTTTAAAACTTTTTATATTTCTTTTTTTTAAAATGCCTCTGCTGAATGTATAGAGAATGATAAGTAAGGATCTTGTAAAAATATTAATGTCAAATTAAAAACTTCAATACTAAAACATGATAGGAGAAAGATTGAGATTTAGGGATATGAACGATGAGAAATTTTAATTTAATATTAGCATTATTGTAAACTTTTTATCTGTCATTCTACCTTGAATATATTCGCAAGGACATAAAAGTGGAGGCTTCCATTAATCAATGGCTCTATCTTCCTGTCACTCTGCACTGATACAAACTGTGCAAGTATTTTCTTCCACAAGTTCTCTTCTGTATTCTAGCCGAGTGAAATATTACTTTTTTGTCCTACACTATGCATTACTTCCTGATATTTTGTAGATATAGTGCCATTATCTTGAAGGCCGCGTGGCAATTCCTTATTGGATAGAGGAAGTGCTTGTAGTATTGCTTCAGGCATCCTATGATCTCATCGTGAGTTTAAACAACCCGAAGGTGATAAGTGGGAAACACGAAAATGTTCAAGGCTATCAATAAAACTCTAAGCCAATAGAAATACAGATAAAGATCTCATAAGATAGGGGTCTTTGGATTGGACTCTTACGAGTTATATAAATAGATTATCAGGCTCAACAAAAGTATCAACACCTATCCCTCCATTCTGAACTCTTAATTCACACTTTTTCATTGAAGTAAAAGAATATTTCTAAAGTGTTATAATGGCTGCCTCTACTATGGCTCTCTCCTCCCCAACTTTTGCCGGTGAGGCACTCGAGGTGTCTCCGGCTCATTTAGGTGTCGGCCGGATTTCCATGAGGAGGGCTGTCAAGCCTGCTGGTCCTTCTGGAAGCCCGTGGTACGGCCCAGACCGTGTCAAGTACTTGGGCCCATTCTCTGGTGAGCCTCCATCCTACTTGACTGGTGAGTTCCCAGGTGATTATGGCTGGGACACTGCTGGGCTGTCAGCTGATCCAGAGACTTTTGCTAGAAACCGTGAGCTTGAAGTCATTCATGCGAGATGGGCTATGCTTGGAGCTTTGGGTTGTGTCTTCCCTGAGCTCTTGGCCCGTAATGGTGTCAAATTCGGTGAGGCTGTATGGTTCAAGGCCGGATCTCAGATCTTTAGTGAGGGTGGGCTTGACTACTTGGGCAACCCAAACTTGATTCATGCACAAAGCATTCTTGCAATTTGGGCTTGCCAAGTGATCTTGATGGGTGCCGTTGAGGGATACCGCATTGCCGGTGGGCCTCTCGGTGAGGTGACAGACCCACTCTACCCAGGTGGAAGCTTTGATCCATTGGGCCTTGCAGATGACCCGGAGGCTTTTGCTGAGCTGAAGGTGAAGGAGATCAAGAATGGTAGATTGGCCATGTTCTCAATGTTTGGCTTCTTTGTTCAAGCCATTGTGACTGGAAAGGGACCTCTGGAGAACCTTGCAGACCATCTTGCAGACCCAGTGAACAACAATGCTTGGGCTTATGCTACAAACTTTGTCCCCGGAAAGTGAGCAGGAAATGTAGTACATTATCATGTATAAGTGTGAAAGTCGAGTAAATTTGAGTGAGTGTGAAGCTGAGACTGGTGTTCGGTGTTGCGTGTTTGTAAAAGATTTCTGCAGACATGAATTACAATTCTCTGTATCTTACAAGTGCTCGAGCTTTTATTCATTTCTGCAAACTAAAATAAATACCACAGAGCAATTACATTGTACACAGAAGGCATCATTTAACAAGAACATGATGGAGACCTATGACATTTTCTTCTTGAGCATCATCAAGATGGACAATACATGATTCATGCAAGGTCGATCTTCAGGATCAGGGAGTGTACAACTCAATGATAGTTTCAATAGCTCCACTAAGACATCATCATGATGGAGATGGTCCGTCGCAAGGAGCACAGGATCCACAACATGAAAAACATGTGACCCTGTTCCATCCACAAGTGCTTTCTGCACTGTTTCACGTAGACTTATTGGCAAGCCATCCACTTCTGTAAGCCCTGTTGGTCTCATTCTTGTTAGAAACTCCATTACTATTATGCCAAAGCTGAACACATCGACTTTGGTCGTTACTTTCCTCATGTAGGCAAGCTCTGAAAATTAAACAAAAGTAGCGATGGTCAGATATCAAAAACTATGAATAGATTTTTAGTTAAAATTTAATATGTGATTGTTAATTTACAGTTATGATTATATGTTATTCTAATTTATATTAAAAATAAGGATAAAAAATAGTAGTACCTTTTTTTGTCACAAAATGTATTTTTAATTGTAAAATCTTATCAATTTTCGTAGAGTATGGAAAAACAACTATTAAATAATTTCTTGTTTAAAATATAATTGAATTTTATTTGTAGGTTACAATACAAATTAATTAACTAAAAATGAAAATATAATTCAATTGAATTTTCAACTTGAGCTTATGCATTTGTACTCAATCCTTGTTTTACTCTCCCTTTTTCTTTAAGTATTTTTAAAAGGTGTCTAAATAGTAATGTCATAAAAGGACTAAGAAGACAACCTATTTAAGCATCTGACAAAGCACCTAAACATGAAAACAGAGAGAAAAAGAGGAGCAAATATGTGAAAAAAAAACAATATAAATAAATTAGCAACCTTTGTAATCCCTCTGTGTGTGTGTGTGTGTGTTTAACAACCAATGCATCAAGAAAAAAGGAAATTACCTGGTGCTAAATAACCAACAGTGCCTTGGAAAACTGTTGATGTGGACACAGTAGAAGCATCATCTTGCAAATGGAGGCCAAGCATTCTAGCTGTTCCAAAATCACTCACGTGGGCCACCCAATCTCCATCCAAAAGAATATTGGAAGGCTTTAAATCACAATGCACAATTGGAATATCATAACCAGAGTGCAAGTAATCCAGCCCATCAGCAACAGAGATGAAGACATTGAGCCTTTCAGATAATGTCCATCTAGATTGATCCATCTCTTCATCATGTGTTATGCTATCCAAATTCCCATTCTGCATGTACTCTAAAACTAGAGCCTTTATTTTCCTACTCTCCCAAGCATACCCCAGAACCTTGACCAAATTCCTATGCCTTAGTTGGCTCAAGATGCTTATTTCTCTCTTGAAAAGTTTGTCAGCTTCTGCAGAAAAATGGTCCAAATTCAGTTTTTTTATTGCCACTACTTTGCTATCTACCAATTGGCCCTTGTAAACAGTGCTCAAATTGCTCGCTCCAATGATGTTATCTGAGCTGAAAGAACTAGTAGCATTTTCTAGGTCCTTTCTATCAAATCTTTCAAGTGTCAAAGCTGATGTGTAGTCTAGTATTTCAAGATTCTCAAGCCTGTCAGAATTACGTGATATGGCACCTCGGATGAGAAACAGAATCACCAAAACCAAAATTAGGAGTAGAGCAACGGATCCAAGTGAGGCAATAATAGATATGCTCTTCTTGGATAGTGAATGAGTTTGCCTACATGGCACTAGAAATTTGGTTCCACACAGAGCAGGGTTTCCCATCAATTCAGATTCATCTATACGTGAGAATATTCCGCCTGATGGAACTTGACCTTCAAGTTGGTTAAAAGAAACATTGAGAATCTTTAGATTGGAGAGATTCGCGAAATTGTTCGATATAGTTCCCTTCAAGTCATTCTGGGAAAGATCTAGCAAAGTAAGATGCTCAAGCTTTGACAATATCTCGGGAATTTCTCCATCTAAATTGTTCCTTGAAAGGTTCAAGCTTTGAAGTAAGCCCATCTCATTGAAAGCCTTTGCTGGAATAGGCCCTGAGATATTGTTTCCTGAAAGATCAAGATTAAATAGATTTCTGCACCCAGAAAGTGTCTTGGGAATGACACCAGAAAGATTGTTGTTTGAAACATCAATGGCTTGAATCATCTCCATTGCACCTAGCTCTTCTGGTATAGCTCCAATAAAGTGGTTATGAGACAAGTTGAGATATAGTTGCATGTCTCTAAACTGTGCAATGACATCTCCAGGAATCGACCCTGCTAGATGGTTCTGTGACAGATCTAACATTAAGAGCTGGCTAAGCTGACTCAACTCTCTTGGAATTAATCCATTGAACATGTTCCCATGGAGGTCTAAATAAGAAAGCATCTTAAGCTTGGAGAAAGCCTTTGGGATTTGACCAAGTAGCTTGTTCTGATGTAGGTCAAGCTCGGTTAGTTGATTCAGTTCAAAGAGTTGATTAGGTATTGTGCCTTCTAACACATTACCATGCAAGTAGAGACCCTGAACAAGACTGAGGTTGGATATCTCTAATGGAATGTGACCAGAAAATCGATTATCTGAAAGTGCTAATGTCAAAAGTTGATTTAAGTTCCCTATCTCAAGTGGAATAGGCCCTTTGAAAGAATTTAAATTCAGCTGAAGCATCCTGAGATTAAACAGATTCTGGATAGTGGGTTTTAGCCTCCCACTAAAATTGTTGTCGCTCAAACTTAGAGTTCGAAGACTTGAGCAGTTCCAGAGATCATCTGGGATTTCACCAGACATTTTGTTTGATGTAAGAGACAAGAAAGTGAGATTAGGCATCCTTGAAAAGCCCACAGGAATTTTCCCATTTAGTGAATTAAAGGCTAAACTTACATTCACCATACCAGTACAATTGGTAATACTAGGGGGGATTTGACCATGAAAAAGGTTGTTGTGCAGGATTAGAAACTTCAATTTATGAAGCAATCCTATGTTAGAAGGAAGTTCACCTGAAAGGAGATTCTGACTCATTGAAACATAAGTTAAGTTCGTCAACTTTACGATTGATGAAGGAATTTGTCCAGTAAACTTATTTGAATGTAGGGTTAGAACTTTAAGTGATCTTAAAGATCCAATTTCAGGAGATATTATTCCCTCTAGCTGATTTTGTGACAGACCCAAGTTGGTTAATGATTTCAGCTGGAAAAGGGAAGAAGGGATTGTAGAATTTAACTTATTGCCATATATCCTTAATGTTTCCAAATGAACTAAGTTTCCTATCTCGAAAGGAATGCTTCCAGACAACTGATTTGTGTATAGTTCAAGGTTCACTAGCTTCATGCATTGACCAAGTTCAGAAGGGATTTTTCCAACCAAGGAATTTTCAAACAGGAGAAGATATTCTAAGTTTCCTAGATTCCCAATCTCTCCAGGTATCTCTCCTGACAATTGGTTTTGACTAAAATCTAGAGACTGTAAAGCCCTTAATTTACCGACAGGAGAAGGAATAGATCCAACAAACTTATTAGTAAATCCTGCAATTTGTGTAACGTTAACCAAATTGCCAATACTTGAAGGGATTTTACCATTCAGATTGTTAGAATTGAAAGCAATACTCAACAAAGAGGTGCAGTTAAATAAGCTTTCTGGGAGGCTTCCGTTCAGATTGTTATTACCCAAATCCAAATACTGCAAACCTTTCAAGTTTCCTAGCTCTATTGGGATTGGACCAGAGAGAGAGTTGTCAAAAAGAATCAACTGAGTAAGTTGGGAGCAAAAGCTGAGCTGAGGAGGGATGAACCCAGAGAATGAATTTGAGGTTAAGTCAAGAAGCTGGAGGCCCGAAAGGTTGCCCAAGAATGGTGAAATCTTACCTTGGAGCTTCTGGCCAACCTGAGCGAGTGACATGACATGTTGTGAGGACGGATCACAAGCAATGCCGGACCAGTTGCAATGATGGGTTGTGTCAACCCAATCTGCCAATGCTCCATTTGGGTCATGAGTGATAGAGCTTTTGAAAGCTTTCAAAGCTTCAATTTCAACTGCTAGTGAGCTTGATTCTGCATTTGAATGTATAGGTGAAACGGAAATGAACAAGACTATGAGTATAGACAAACTGATTTTTGGAGACATCAGCATTGAAGAATGTAAGACAGAGAAGATGGGTTGGCTTAGCTCAAGTCTGCAGATATGAGGAAATGCTGAACTAGAAGAAGCCTTTATATAGACCAAGTTTCGACTTTCAAGAAGAGTCGTGAACCCATTTGTGATAGAGGGTTTACACATCACATGCTGCTAAATCAATGATTAGCAGAGATTAAGAAAGGACGAAATTGTTCATTGTTTGGACAGAGACCTGACCATGTAGAAGCTGACTTCTAGTGTTCATAAAATCATGTCGCCGTTGGCGTATTGCCAAACAAGTTGCTTCCTATAATACAGATTGAGACCTTAGATAACGACGAGTTGACGACGATGTAACTGTAAAAGAGAGAGAGAAGTTGAAAGTGTGTTATCCATATTCAGAACCCAGTATCAAAAAAAGCAGCAATAGTACGTCTTATACGATTGGTGCAATGAACTTTGAACTTAACAGTTTCGAATGTTGTCAATAATTTTCTCCAACCCGTGGGACTAATTAATCAAGTATGACCATAGATTTTCGCAAAAGCAGGATCCAGTTTTGAGTATGATATTAGAAAACATGTGGTGAGTGACCCAGAAGAAAAGGGAAGCAAGTGGACTAATATATTATAGTGAGCGACGACAAGTGGTGTTAGAGATGACAAATAGCACAAGAATACTGCAACTGATGCATCAAACGCGGTATGGACTATGGAGGAGTCGGAGTGGGGCCCGTATTGATATGCAAGAACAAACTAAGTTGGCGATAAGGTTGGTGATACTCAGAGCTAAAGAAACTAACGGGGGTAATCATAGTATGGTGATGCCTTCCATTCATCGGTTAGGAGGCATTTTTCTAATTGGAATCTCGCACGTCTTCCGAGTCGGCAAAAGACATAATGGCTAAAACCACGTTCCAGTATTACCGGAAAAAAAAAAATATATGTGATTTATGACAGCTGTGGGATTTGAACCCACGCCCTTTCGGACCAGAGCCTAAATCTGGCGCCTTAGACCACTCGGCCAAACTGTCAGTTAGTATGTTTTGTGATGAGATTAATTATATATTCTTAACCTGACAAATAATCTCAGCCCCAATACCCGCCTATTACGTCTCTGAACAGAAACCCGAAATCCTGGTGCGAGCCTGCATGCGCAGAGCCAAGAGCAAAGATTCCTTTTCATATTAGCTAGGACGCAAAGATAGTGACATGGACATTGGATGAGATAAATATATGATACGCCAATGCTTTTATTTTTAAAAATTTAAGATCTCATATGTGCATGTATGAATATAAATTTGGTCCTTGTAATTTTAATCCAGTTGTAATTCAATTTTTTAACTTTGATTTATTATAACTCAATCTCCAAAGTTTTAACTCAATTATAAATCAGTCCTTAAACTTTTTTTTTTGCAATGTAGTCCCTCAAGTTTCAATCTCTTAAATATTTATCTCTGTATTTTAAAAAATAAAATTATATGCCTTGGTAGAGGCTTTTTGCACAAGCTTGTTGGAATATTTAAAAAGCTAGATGTAAAAAATTATACTTAACAGATAACATCCCTAACAGCAATATCGCCTTCTCCAACACTCAACAAATAAATAATAACTTGAAGCTTATATCCAAGATCAATCGCTTAGGCAAAAGCAACTCTACAAATGAAGGAAAATGGAGCCCACCTAAACTCGGATGGGTTAGACTCGACACTGACAGTTATGTCAACACTAATGGTGCTACAGTTTGTGGAAGTATCATCAGAAATAATAAGGATAATTGAATTAAAAAATTTTTCAAGTTCTTTGAATATCAACCTAGCATAGCAGCAAAACTTATGAGAATATTTGAAGGACTTAAACTTTGCTAAAATGTGGAACTACCAAGAATCAATATTTATTTTAATTTGATGGAGGCATTATCACTCATTAACAGTACCTACTCTGAGAGTCACCCTTATTCTGACACTATCAAGAAGATCAGAGATCTTGTTATGAGAGGTTGGATAATCACCTTTGACTATGTTCATAGAGAAGCTAACAAATGTGCTGATCTTTTAATTCACCAACCTCCGTATGATACTTTTAATATTATGATTTTTGTTGAACCACGCATGATTGTAGAAACCTCATGGTTTTAAATATGACTAGATTTTAGTCTTTTGCACGGTTTTATCATGGCCTTGTAATTCAAAAAAAATAAAATTATAAAAAACAAAAATATTTTAATATTTTAATATTTATAATATTTATAAAGATTAAAAGGGTTTAAAATTTTAAAATATTTTCAATTTTTATAATTTTATTTTTAAAAATATAGGGAGTAATATTTAAGAGGTTGAAACTTGAGGGACTAAATTGTACGAAGCAAAGTTTAGGAACTAATTTATAATTGAGTTAAAACTTCAAGGATTGAGTTATAACAAGTCAAAGTTGAGGGACTGAGTTACAATTGAGTTAAAACTACAAAGATCAAATGATTAATTTTTCCTAAAAAATTATAAAAATATGTAAAATATAATTTTAATTCAAAAAATATCCAAACCAGCATACATATATAGTTTGTTATAGTAATAATAAGAAAAACATAATCATTAACTATATTTTTATTCAATCTATGCCTAATTACCTAGTCCATACTAATAGATATAGTATTAATATCTTCTCCCTCTCGACCATCATCTATAAAAGGGTAGCTTCTATATTTTGTTCATCAAAAGATAAGTTTGTCACTCCTAAAATTCTACACCATCAAGGTTATCCTATTCATCTCCACTAACGTCCCACATCTTAGACTTGTCTTGTTTATATTCTTCACTTTTCTTAGCCAGAAGTTGCAATTAGTATGGACATAAATTAAGTCTTCTACCTTTTAAGGATTGAACTTGTTTCTTTTCATTGAATGAATGAATGAGTAGGTACCTCAATTTCTTTCTTAACATGATGAAAAGCAAGGCTGCTCAAGAAACTTAAGAGAAAGCTTTTGAGGTAGAGGGTTTGGAGAACCACGCATCACCTACTAAGATTTGGAATCTAATGTACACCTATCTTTAATGGAGTCAAAAGAAAAAAAAAATCATTTGCTTTTGATGAGAAATCAGCATAGTCAAGTGCAACCTTTCTTCTTTCATCAAGACCTGTAAAAATCATATTACATTCCCATGCTTTTTTATATTATAATCTAGAAAATTGTAATTTTTATTTTTTTATTACATCAAAAACTTATTTTTTTAAGAAAATTCTAATCTTTGACTTTAAAAACAAATCAAAAAACGATATTAGTAATAAAAATTTTAATATCATAATCTTTAATAAGATTTAATTTTAAAAAAATTTCCTTAAAATATCGATTTTAAATTATTGACTTGCAATATTGAAGTATCATATATGTATTAAAAATTAAATTTTTTAAATTCAAAAAATAATATTCTAATACTTTATGAATATATATAAAACAAGTATCAATATTGAATATGATGTTGAAATAATTTGAAGTGTACGCATATTATAGCATGCAAGTATATGCATCTAGCATGGGATGTGAATATCATGTCAATCTCGATCCATGATTGCCTTGATCCAAGGTATAAGAATTAAGACAGCTGATATCTTGCCAGTTTGGATTCTTACATTTTTTTTTTGGAAAAAAAAAGAAAAAGAAAATTTGTTTTTTTTTTAATGTATGACCTTTATCCAAGAAATTATTAATTATATTATAAACGATTTTCTTTGTTTTTTTTACCAACAATAAACGATTTTCATATTGATATTTCATGTGAATTTACATTCGGAAAGACGGAATATGCGTTGTGGTTCTTGGATATATTATGCGTGAGGGACTTTGGATTCGATCAGTGTTCTAAACATACTCACTGACCCAGTAATGTCAATTTGATTTAATCAAACAGTTATCATCAATGATTTTGTCATAGAATATTCAAAATGTATCAAATTTTAAATTTTTGGAGAAGACATCATAAGTATGAAGTATTCTAATTAGGCTGATTATTTTGAATTTTTGAAAGGATTAGAAATATATATTAATAATTTTTAAGTATCGGTAAAATTTAATTATTATAATGGATACACTTACTGAGTAAATACACTTAGGATACTCACTGAAATTCAATTTGATGAGTCAGGATCAGTTAAGATTATTAATTTAACAGGGGAGATTAGACCACTTACGCTTTCCAAAAAAAAAAAAAAACATATAGATCAGTTATAATTATATCGTAAATTAAGCCGTCCATAAAAGCTTCCCATGTTTAGGTGTCAAATGGCCATTTTTCAGATATCAATAACGTGAGGTTTTGTCAATTTTTTTAAAACGCATATCTTAGATGATTTATTAGTTAGGATTAGCATTCTAAATTTTAAATTATTACACAAATAACATCCTGAACTTTGAACTGTCAAAATGTGTAAAAAATTTTCTCAACTTTTAAATTTCGAACACATAAAATCTCACTATTAAATTAGAAAAAACAGTCATTATTTTGATAGTTATAAGATTTAGTCGCATGCTGATATGGCACTCATCTTAATCTTTAAAAATAATAACCACTTTTTCTAACTTAATGGCGGATTTTTAAGATGTTATTCATGCAATAGTTTAGGATTTAAGATATTTATTACACTAATACAAAAAAGGTTTTTTTACTGCTATTTAAAATAATTTTTTACAGTGATTAAAAAGGTGATGTTGTTTCAAAGAATGTAGAATGTCCCCATTTTTTTACATCGGTTATCCAACTAATGTAAAAACTAAATTTTCTATAATAGTTATATAACTAATGTTGAAACTATATCTAGAAATTAAAAAAAATTCACTAGGCACTTTTTACACTGTTTGGGATCCCAACTGATGTAAAAAGTCATGTTTTTACACCAATTGGGATTCTAACTGATGTAAAAACCTAACTTTTTACACAAATTTTACATCGATTATTACCATAATTGATGTAAAAACTTTGAAATTCTACAACAGTTATGATGATAACCGAGGAGGAAATGAGGGAGGGGGCGTGCGTGCAGGAGGAAAATGAAATAGGGGAGGAGACAAGTAGGAGCAAAATGAGGGGGAGGAAATGACATTTAAAAAATTTTTTAGAGTAAGTGAACCAACAATTCACCTACTATAAAAACTATACTGCACTTTATTAAAATTATAAAAATATCATTGTTTTAGTTTTTTACACCGTTTGTCTTATTAGTTATTTGCGTTTTAAATAACAAAACAATACATTTATATGTGCTCTTTAAAGTTTTTTAACGAAAATATATAGCTTAACAGAAAAATTAATATATATATATATATGTGTGTGTGTGTGTGTGTGTGTGTGTGTGTGTGTGTATCTTGATGGAATGTGAGCCCA